CAGATCTCTGAGTTCAAGGCCAGCCTGGTCTACAGAGTGAGTTCCAGGACAGCCAGGGCTTCACAAGGAAATCCTGTCTCATATAAACAACAAAAAGCAGGAACTCTATTTATTGCCTCACCACAAAAGACAGATACTACGTAATGGCGAAATGATGGATAAAGACTTTCAAGAAACTGAATTTAGGAAAACGCAGGTGTCGGTGTTCTAGTGTCTGAAGCAGTAGACGTCAAACCAACGTTAGTGAGGAAAAAGATAGAGATGATCTCTTCACACTGATTAAGCAAACACCCAGTCAAGAGGACACTACAGTTCTAAACATGCATACTCTGAACACAAATACACTCAGTTTCATAAACAGATACTACTGAAGGTCAAGTTACAGATTAACCCAGCTCAGCAGTGGTGAGGACTTCAGTGCCTAGCTTTTGTTAACCGGCAAGTGTGGTGGTTTAAATGCGAATGGCACCCATAGCCTCATATATCTGAGTGCCTGGACCCAGTTAGTGAAACTGTTTGGGAAGGATGAGGAGTGTGGCCTTGTGGGACTAGGTGTGGCCTTGTTGAAGGAGGTGTGCCACTGGGGGTGGGTTTGAGGTTTCAAAAGTCAACGCCATTCCCAGTCTTGCTTTCTCTGCCTCCAAGCTGTGGATCAGATGTAAGCTCTCAGCTGCTGCTCCAGCACCATGCCTGCATGTCAACACGCTCCCTGCCATGATGATCATGAACTCTGAAACCATAAGCAAGCTCCCAATTAAACACTTTTAGAAGTAGCCTTAGTCATGGTGTTTCATCACAGCAATAGAAAACAGTAACTAAGACGCAGGTCATCCTGACCAAAATTGGAGAAACGTCTGAATTAAATGACAACATAGATAAATGGACTTTACAGACATCTCTAGAACATTCTATTCAAACACTGCAGAATACACATGTTTCTCAGCATCCCATGGAACTTTCTCTAAAATAGATCATATTTTAGGCCACAAAGCAACTTTAAGAAATACAGGAAATAATTCCTTGTAGTCTATCTGATAACAATGGAATAAGACTATAAATTAACAATAGGAGAAACCCTAGAACATATACAAACATGTGGAGATTAAACAACACACTACCGAACGATGAATGGCTCCTTGAAAGCAATCAAGAAGGAAGTAAAAACATTCCTAGAATCAAACAAAAATGAAAATACAACATACAAAAATCCTTGGGACACGAGGAAAGCAGTCATGAGGGAAGTTTATGGCTCTGAGTGCCTACAAAATTAGAGAGCTCTCAAATAAATGATACACCTTACAACTGTGAAACATAATAATAAAAAAAACCAAATACAGAGAAAGGAAGAAGAGGGGCTGGAGAGATGGCTCAGCAGTTAAGCGCACTGGGTGCTCTTACAGAGGACCTGGGTTCAGTTCCTAGCACCCGCTTGGTAGTTCACAGCCATCTGTAACTT